TCCCTTCTAAATTAATTGTTGCTAGATTCTTATCTATTACTGATTCCCAGATTTTAATTAATTTTCGACTTACCTTCCAGTAGCCCTCTACTTGAACACCAGGTTGTACTGGGTAGAATACTTCTTCTACAGGTAGCATCATCTAGAGTATATCCAGCCGCCTCCTGGAAATTCATCAACTTCCTTAAGATTCTACCCAGCCTTGGTATCAGCTTACCAGTTTCTAAAGCTGTGTTCTACAAGGGGCCAACAGATGATATGGACCTGGTTTTCCATTCTTTGCTCATCTTCCTCTTTCCTTGGCTTGCTCAAAGACAATGCATCTGCCTTTCATAGGTTCTCCATCACACTATACAGTCCCCTGAACAAATGAGTCCTACCTGTGAATATGGCAATTGAACCGTTTACCATTCTCTGAACCAGGAGGTACCACATATTAGGTGTAACTATTAGTACAAAACTGGTGATGCACACTAGTAACATCACTTGCTGCAGGCTGGGACACATATAAAGAAGAATAATATGGTTTTTCTCTTCAGTTGGCATATTTCAGAGCAAAGAATGTGTGCATGATTCAGTTAAACATACCAAGTCGCAGGATTCTAGAAAAAGTTCCCTATTCACTGTTTTTCTTCAGAAAGGAACAAGAATATGTGTAATCTTGTCAGGGAACAATATTTATGGTGAGGCCACTGTGGTTGATGTGAAAATGTAGAGCTCGATTTTGCCTTCAAAGAAGATCTTACTGCCTATCTATAAGGAGTGTGGCAAGAAACAGAATCCAGCTGCCATTTCCTACAGTGTCTGTGCCAGGTGAAGAGAGCTTTCTTGGATTACATTATGCCCTTCCCAGGGTAAACTACCTCCTGCACAGTGAGACTAAGTCAGAATAAGGAAGAGAAGGCCAGAGGAAGGCCTTCATCGTATTGCTATTTAGGTACCTGCAATGCAGAATGAGAAAATTCTCAATTTGAACGTGGCCTTCCAGGTCATTGAAAAGGTATTATCTGTCAAAGAAGGAATATAAAACACATATTTTATTTAAAAGTTTTTAGCTAGATTTAAAATTTTTTAAATGTTTATACATATTGCACTTTTGTATCTTGCCTCAAGCCAAGCAACTGCACACTGAGACACTTAGTGTGCAAATGAAACATTGAAAGGATTGAAATGGTGACCAGAGAGCTTCTCCCAGAGCATGAAGTATCATACTTTCATGTTTACTGTGTGAGAGAGTAATTATTTTCCATCATGAATGTACATTTCTAAATTTTCTGTTGAATTTTTCATGAATGACCCAAAATCTCTGAGTACTGATTCTTGACTGTCAACATTGTTGAATAAAAGACTTGAACAAACATGCAGAGCATTGCTTGATTAGAACTGATAGATAGAGCTGTCACAGGGTACAACAGTATTTTTTTATTATTTTGGTTATTCATTGGAGAAATTTTGGGGCTGTGGTTCTACTTCTTTGTTCTTTCTCTGTATGGGTCAAGAATGAATGTAATCTAGCATGGAGGGAACATTGTGGGCTCAGGAAACAAGTAGTGTGGAGTTAGGTACTAGTTAATTTATCAGGACCTTGGGAAAAAATAACTTCAAAAAGCCTAAAATGCTGGGGGATTCCATATCCTGTGAAAATTCAAGCTGTATGAAGTCTGTACAGATAGGGAAGGAATGGTGATATTTACCGCCTTCTTAGTAGGCAAGGCTGAGAGGTTGACTGGTGTAATTCACCAGGCAATCTTATTGCTTTCTACAGTGTACATAGTGAATAAATGTTAAGGAAGAAGCCCATGTTCTTAAAGGTAAGAAGTGTCTAGGTACTGTGTTTTCAAAAAAGGATATAATCTATGTTTTATAAGTAACCAATCTACATTTTGTTTATTTCTCTCTCTGATTTAGCTATATATATACATGTAAATAAGAATTTTAATTTCCTTAAATTATAATCTAAAAATGTTGACTTAGATTTCCTCATTACTTGTCACTCATACATAGGTCCAAGAAAAAGTAAATTTTGTGTTGAGAAGTATTTAATTTCATATTTCACAGTCCTTTGGGAGACATAATTTTAGCTCAGACATTTCTGTAGTGTTAACTAGTGCAAATATGTAACTTTCAAATATTATATATTATGTATATCCTGTATTTTTCTTGCAGCAAACATTTTTATAATATAAATATTTTATGATTAAAGAAAGGTTTTATTGCTTATTAAAATATATGCATTAGAAATTCATAAGTGAAAAATTGAAAGAAAATAAAACTTTTAAAAAGACATATTTCCTATTGATATTATAATTCAAAGAATCCTTAATTAAATGGGCTTACAGCCCACTGTAATGTTGAAAAATAGCAAGTTGCAATATTGTAAGTTGGAGGCCTTGTGCATTTAGAAAAAGAAAGAAAGAAACTGCTTAATAATGCAAATGTAAGAAGAAAATAACTCATTGCTCAGACTAATCTTTAAAGTTTCAATTTATTTCAGACAGGCTTTTAATATTCTAATAATCTCAGGAGAACAACCAAGGAATAATTTACTAGATTTTTATAAAGTACCTTTTGTGTTAGTTATTCTTAATTCACTCTCTTCTTCTCATTTTTTCTAGTGGAAAACATCACTGGAACACACTAATATCTACTCCTGCAAATTATGGAGCCTAGGTGAGGTAAATATGATAGCAACCATGATTTAAGACAGCCTAAAACTCTCCTTTCCTTGATGTAGTGGCCCAGACTCCAAGGCCAGGCTCTCATGTGTTCTCTCATTTATTCTTATATTCTTACTGCAAATCAGAAGAAGTTCTTAGTCCAGTGGGCCTTTTTTACTACCTTAAGTACAAATTTACAGGCAGGGCTTTAGTGGTTCAATGCTAGGTCTCTGGGGACAAGTCACCTCCATCAAGAACTGGTTTTAGGGCTGGGTGGGGTGGTACACGCCTGTAATCCCAGTGGCTCCACAGGCAGATGCAGGAGAATCCCAAATTTAAGACCATCCTCAGCAATTTAGCAAGGTACTAAGCAACTCAGTGAGACCCTATCTCTAAATAAAATACAAAATAGGGCTGGGGATGTGGCTCAGTGGTTGATTGCCCCTGAGTTCAATCCCAGGGGGTCCCCACCCCCTAAGAAAGAACTGGTTTTAGGATTTACCTATCAGCTCTTCCCCTATAGCCTCCAGTATTTAGCTCAATGCCTGGTGCATAGAAAAACTAAACATTAAAGAGAAGTATTTTTGAATAGAAAAATGAATTAATATTTTATCAGAGATTGTTTGCAGGGCTCAACTTTTAAAGCCTAGTTAGTTCTTCCTAATCTTTGAGCAAGGTCCTATGGTTAATAAAAATAAATGGAGTTTACTATTAGACATCAGAGGTTGTTTCTTAATGTCCCTAAGGAAGCTATTTTATATCCTTTTATGAGCTTCAGTTCTAATTCTTTTGCATAAGGATAATAGGAAAGAGTACTGTGACCATTAAGTGAGGTTATCTATATAAAATGCACAGGATGATGCTGGTCTCTGATAGGCCCTCAGCCAGGGTAATAGGATCCAACCCAACCTTGAGCCATGCACCCCAGTTCAAGCATGCCGAGTGTGCAAAGAGTCTTGCTACTAAACCTGACTGTGGTCTGGAAGTTTAAAAAATTCTGAAAAAATTTTACTTTATCTTCCTAAATAAATTTGAAAGCCATGGTCGAAGTGAAACTTATATGTAGACACTGATATTTCATAAACAGTAGCTGTTTTAATTTTCAGTTTTGTTTCACTAAACTCTATAATCTTTTAATCAGAATAATAAGTGAATGTTTTCATTTCTTCACTCATTTACCAATTATGTGATGAAATTTAAGAGGTTTTGTTTTTGTAGTTTTTTTCCCAGACCATAAAATAATTTCATGACACTGAAGTGAAATCTGCAACTTATTTCATATAAAACATGAAAAGCTTATTTAATGAGGTGCCAAATATTGGTCTAATTTTAAAAAATGCTACTAGTCACTGTTAACATTAGAGATCTACAGTAGCTTTATATATTACATATAATTAGTACTGATCTTCAATCATTTGGCATAAAGGCATTAAAAGCTACTCAAATTATCTAGCTAAGAAGCAACTGGTAATTGATAATATCTATCTCTAGCCTTAGAAAATTGTAATCTCAAATGAGGTTGGGGGCAGGGGATGTTCTTCACTTCTCTTGGTATTAACTGTACAAACAAAGACAGAGTATGAATTGTAAGAAGTTATAAACCGAACACACTCATCCCTTTGTCATTTCTGATGTTTTCATTAAATTAGCTAAAAAAATGGAACTGTATCTAGAGAACAACAATAAAAAAAATTAGTGGTTTGAGTTTTCCTGGAAAAAATGTCCCCTTTCCAACACCATTACTGATAATTTAATATCCTGCTTAAAAACAATAGAATATTTGGTGATAGGAACTTGCTTCTTCTTGGATGTTTCTCTTCAGAGTTGGAATTAGACAAATGACAATTGATAAGCTCAGGCTGACTTGCTCACTATTCATTTCAGAAAGCATCCATGTTATAGAGGAGCACCTATGGACCCTGAGGGTTAGCATCTTAGCTCCCCTGCCCCTCACCCTCTAGGGACATGAAATTTAGTTCATAAAGCTTCAGCTCATTATTTTTTTCTCTAAAATGCAGCTATGATACCTACCCAGCTGAGACATATCAATTTTGATATTGGTATTATGCCTAATTATAATCCTCTGGAGCTTTGCAATTCGAAGTGTAGTCTATGAACTGGCAGAATTGACCTCACTGAGGCGATGAATGAAGTGCAATATCTCATCCCCAGACTTATTCAATCAGAATTCAGTTCCTGTGTGCAGACCATGATTTGGAATTTCTAACAAGCTCTCTTTTGATGCTGCTGTTGTCAGTTCACAGACCACACTTTGAGTAACAAGGCTCTAGTGTCTCTAGTATATATCAGTGAAATAAGATACAAAGTTATGTTGGAGCTAAATGATTTTAGAATTGAGTTTTTAATCATAATAAACTTAACAGGAGCATAAATAAACATAACATAACATTTGATCTAAAATAGAACAAAATATCTTCACCCCAAAGAATTTTGAGATAATTGGCCTGGGGTTGAATTTAGTTGATGGTATATTTTAGAAAGCTCCTCAGCAAAATCTAGTGTACAGATGGAAAACAAATGATATGGAGCTAGCATGAAAAAATAAATGCTGGAGGAAGTAAATACAGTAACAACAAGTGGACTGTCCTGGGCAGGATTATGTCCCACCCCATCAGAAATGATCACACTCTTCTCTCAGGAGCCCATGATTATGTTACCATCATGGTAGAAGACATTTGCTGATATGATTGAGGCTGTGGACCTTGAGATGAAGGATTATCCTGGATTATGGGCACAATCTAATCATGTTCTTAGAAATGGCAGAGAGAAGCAGAAGAGCTCATCAGAGATGGGGCAGAACAGGTGGCAGAGTAGATTGGCAGAAGAAGGCTTTGAGATACTGTTGCTCTCTTCAAAGATGGAGACATGGAGCCATATATTAGACATCTTTTCTTTGCTTTGACTAAAATTTCTGATAAAAACATCTTGAAGGAGGAAAAGTGCATTTTGATACACATCTTCAGAAGGTTCAGTCCATGGTCTACTGGTTTCGTGGTGGAATCCTCAGGGTAGAAAGGCCTTGTGCAGGAAAGCTGTTCAGCTCGTGGCAGCTGTGAAACAGAGAAAGAGAGAGAATGTGTTTTCCCAAAGTATACTCCCCCAGAGAGCTACTTAATTCAACCATATGCCAACAGTTTCCACCACCTCCTGGTTCTTCATTCAGCTATCAGTGATTAATCCACTGAGGAGGTCCAAGTCCTCCTGAGCCACTTACTTTTCTAAAGCCCCATGTTTGAAACTGCTGCTCTGGGGAGCAAGACTTCACTGCAGAGTCTTTGGGGGACACTCCATATCCAAAGTATAACAGTTCACACGAGCCAAGGAATTCTGGCAGTCTCTACAGTCTGAGAACATCACTTGGTCAACAATCAGCAAGAAAATAAATTCAGTCAACTGCATAAGCAAGGAAATAGATTGCCCTACAGCCTCCAGAAGAAACACAGCCTTGCCAACAACTGATTATAGCCCAGTGAGCTCCATCTCAGACTTCTGATCTATAGAACAGTTAAAATAACACATGCGTTGTAGTCACTAAGTTTGTGGGAATTAGTTATAATAGCAGTTGAAATTGAATACAAGGATGTAGTCCATTGTATTAGCTTAAGCCTTTTATTTAAAGATCAAATAGTAAAATTATTCCTCACGCTTTGCCAAGGAAACAGTCTGTTCTACACTGGTATGCTAGTATGTTTCCAATCTTCAGAGAATGAGAAATACAAATGTTGTAGTAGTTTTCTTTTGAGCTAACTTGCAAGGAACTTCAGAACTAATAGAATAAGTTGACTTTAATAATATTCACATAATTCTATGATAATATAAAATACTAATATACAATGACATGCTAGTATTAGATGACTACCATGAGTCTAGCAGTGCCATTGGCACTTCAAATTACATTATTAACTACTACATTATACACACCAGAGTGCACTTGTTTTATCCTCATGACTACCCTATGAGGACGGTACATTTATGCTCCCTGTCAAGATGCTGGTGTTGAAGCTCAGAAATGTTAGGCGAGTACTGTTAAAAGTACTGTTAAAGCAGCCAACAGTGGTACAGACAGGGTTAAAGCAGCCAAGGCTGTTTGATAACCAACAGGACCACAGATTTAGAGAAGAGGAAGTATCAGAGATCCTCATCAACACAGATATAATAAATGAAACCGAAAAAGATTAATTATCAAGATGTCTTACTGCCAGCAAATAATTAAAAGGGTATCTCAAACTCAGATTTTTAAGCTTCTTGTATACCTGTTCTTTCATCTAAACTACAATGTGTAGATAAAATCTAAATAAAGACAACCCAAATTTTCTCTATCATAAAGCAGATAATAATCAGTACATGGAGTAAGTTTGATGAAGTGAAGCTGTAAATTCTCTAATTTTCATTTGTAGCCAAGATAAAGAAGCTTTGAAAGCTGAAGGAGGAGGCTCTGACCTTAAGAAAGACAAAACGAAAGCCATCATTCAGTTTTGTTATTAAGGCCTCAGTGTGAAGGCAGAAGCAACTTCTGAAATGATTCAGATAACTGTTTTGTGGTAATATAAAACACTTGAACTGGAGATTAGCTGTGAAACAAAAGAATTGTTCTCCTGTGTATTTTTCTCCCTTCACTCCAGGAAGTACATAAAAGCACTTAGCTAATGGGGGAAGGGTTGAAACAGACAGCAGTATGTTCCAAAATGTTTTTTTTTTTTCCTTCTTACATGCATAAGGAACAGAAAAAAGAAAAAAAAAAAAACACTAAAGTCCTCTAAAGAATATAAAGAATAGTACTTTGCTATCCTCCCTGCTCACCCCGCTCCATTTTTTCTTCAGCCCTTCATCTGAGAGGCCTGGAGATAAAAGGAGCTGGTTATCTTAGTAGATAAAAGATGCCACTGGAGAAAACTTAAATAAAGATTTAGAGATGGACAAAACCACAAAACCGTGTGGCATAGCAAAGGAACACCTTGACAGAATGAAGCATTATGAAAGTTGTCAATGAATTTAATGTCAAAAAAAGAAGAAGAAGAAGAAGAAGAGAAAAGGAATACGGGGAATACGGGCTATTTACTTACAGAAAAGCCCTGAAATTTCCTTTTTTAGGAGAGTTTTTATATTAGATATTGTGAACCCTCTCACTTCACAAATTGATGTGTTTTGTATTATGTCCTTAATAAAAATTTTAACTGAAAAATGCAAAATTCAATTATAAACAAATATTTTCTATGCTGGCCCAAGTTCTTCCATAATATAACTTAATATGTTTCCCTGTAATCATGTAATGTCTTTCCCTTCAAAGGTTGCCAGAATGAATTAGTCAATGAGCTGAAAGTTTTCTGAAAACTCTGAAGAATTCATTTAACATTGTGTCAGGTAACAACTTACTGTGCCAGGTGACAAGGCACTGGTTATTAAAACAGCTAAAAACTGGGACAAAAGGAGAAAGCACTGTCTAATCAATTGATTCACACCATATACATTCTAAGTATTTTATTCTAAAAAGAGCTTTGCCAAATCTCACATACTTTACATTCCACATGATTAAAATATATATTATAAATATAAATATATACAATAATATATATTTTAATAGAAAATAGAGAGTAACGAATTTTTTTAGAAGGTTGGATTTTTCATTTTGAAGCTCCTAGCTTTTGACTCAGCAATACCACATGTAAGTACTCATTATGCTGATATACATACCTAAATGAAAAGGGATATACGTACTAGGATACTTACAGTTTCTCTTCCCACAACTTAAGAATGTCGCAAAACAATTGTTAAATGATAAATTTACATTTTGAACTTAAAAATGGATGTTTCATTCACAAAATGGATTAGTACTCACCCATATGTATTTTTCAGGGTTCTCTAGAGGAACAGAATTAACAGAAACTATGATTATAAAAAGAGGATTTATTAGATTGATTTACATGATCAGAAGATGGATAGTCCATAATGGCCATTGGCAGGATGGAGAGCTGGAGGAACCAGTAGCTGAGTAGTCCAATAGGCTGAGCCCTCAGAACAAGAGGGATCAACAATGCTACCCTAGTTAAAGACCAAAGGCTTCTGGAAACTCCCCAGAGAATCACTGGAAGAGTCCTTGTTGAAAGAGTGAAGGAGTGAGAGTCTGATATCTTCATGTGATGGCAGCAGCAATCAAGAACCTTTTCAAGAAGAATAGAGCTTGCATTTGCTGCAGCATTCTTTTTCTTCCAATTTTCATTCCATCCAAGCTACCATCTCACTGAACGGTGCTGCCCACGCTTAGGTGGGGTTTCAATTTGCTATCCCAAAGCCAATCATTCGTAAACACCCCCTCATTGGCACATCCTAAACAACCCCTCATTGGCACACCCTGAAGTTTCTTAATCTTCAGCATCTCTTAATCCAATCAAGTCACAATTCAAATTAACCATTACACATATAAAGCATTCCTAATACTCTATGTACAAGATTTTTCCATTGATTTTTTTCTAGAAAATTCCAAGGCATGATATATCCTAATCATGTCCATTCACCAAAGACACAAGTAGGGAGAGGCTAAACAACTTGTCAAAGTTTTACTGTTTGAATTCTGAGTTCAAGCCTACAAAGTCCTGCTCCACAGACAATGCATTTAATCATCATGCAATATTACTTTTCTTTTCATGAGAACAAACAGAAATCTATATATCATATAACAAAGTACTAATTTGATTGTTGTTACTTTTTATCCATCTGGTCAGTTAGCTAACATTATTCTAATTCACTTTAAAGCAAAACAAACAAAAACACAAAATACTTGTTTTCTCTCAAATGTGCTTCTCTACGATAATGTATATGTGTGCACACATAAGTGCTTTATAAAATATTCCAAGGTTAGACAGTCTTTCACAGAATTATTTTGCCCTCTAGAATTCCCAGGCACTTAGTGCCTCCAGACTCCTGCTGGTAAAAATTGTGGTGATCTATGAATGAAAGAAACAGGTTTAAAGGCTATTCAGCAGAGCCCAGCAATCAGCACTAACAACCATAGACTTTAGAATGAAATCCATTTATTGATTTTAATTTATAAATCCCCTTCTGGTGGCCCGCTGCATTGCCTTATAGATTACTTCTGCACTTGTAAATCTTACTGCCATGGGGATTGGTTGTACCACTCATAAACCTGATTCTTTGATTTAAATGTTAGGGGACTGGAGGTAGATGTTTTCATTAATCTTTTATGTATTTTTCCTTGCACATTTTTCTTCAGGATAATAAAGAGATAATTATATAGCCTAACCTTCCTTGATTTATAAATTAAGGTAGTTGGCTTAGAGATAGTGGAATATAAGTAGGGTTAGCCCTGGGCAATTTTGGAAAATTGCTATTTTTAGAAATATCAACTTTCTTATTGAACTGTTTTTTTGTGAGATTCCTCTCCCACCCCATGAGGCACATCCAAACTCCACTCTTTGCTCCTCTAAACACTTCACCTCCACTTTCATTTCTGTAAACTTTAAGCAACTATAATTTCTTTTAAAATATATCTCTACCCTAATTCCAAATATCCATAAGGATTAACTCCTTTAAGAAAGCTTTAGGGTTATATTGGGTCAGTGTGTCATGAGAAGTCACTTTTTGAAGTAGCTAAAAAACTTGTGATAATGCTTTCAATTATCCTTCTCTCTAGCACAGTGAAGGCAGCTATGTTTATTTTACCCAATCTTGCCACTTGCTGTTGTTAAGTGGATGAGGGGTGGTCTTTTGACAGTCTGGACAAATCAAACCCTCACAGGTAAAAGTTTGATTTGAAAATAAGGACTTTTAATTCAGATTTGAAGAATAATGTAAAATAATCTCAAGATTTTTGGTTCTTTATTCAACTTTCCATAGGTTGATATGAGAGAAATCAGACCTTTAGAAAATTTTTTTTTAAAAAAGGAATTTAAGTTTAATAAATAAAAAAGAAAAAAAAAAGAAAGGAAAAGCACCAGCTGTAAGTTCTTGATCCATTCCCGTTTTTACATGTAGTGAGACAGCTGTATATCCTTGTGAAAAGGAACCTTCATTAATTAAGTGAAATGGATTTCTG